AGAGCAGACCGTCCCCTTTCCGTTCAGCCTTTGCGAGTCTACACAGCCTTCGTAGACCACGTCCTTCGCAGGATTCAGCCTCTGAATTGGGACACAGCTATAGAGGTAAATATTTAGAGGCAAGAGATCTGAATCTGAACCAGTGTACCAATCTGAAACTAACTTTACCACAGTGCTTCACCACTCAGTGCTGCCTGGGGTTTGTTGGGTTTTTCTTTACCACAATCTGAACACTTGGTTAGGATTAGAAGGCCTGAGGGGAATTTCAGACAGAGGCTGTATGAGTGAAGATGTACTTCTTGGTGTTGCACTTCTGTTTATAGAATTAGTTTTATTTATTTTATGTCTTTTTAAAATTAATTTTATGTTTCCAAAGGTTATTTTGCAAAAGTTATGTAAGCATTTTTTTTCTAATTCTGTATAAAAATGTATTGTGATGTAAAAATGGCTGTGAGTATTGTATCTTATGTATTGCACATGTAATTTGCATATCGTTACACACCAGTCAGGCCTTTTCACCCAACATCAGTGCCTGACCTCACTAATGCTCCTTTAGCTGACCAGAAGTGAATCCACACAGCAACGTCCCACCGTCTATAAGAGTGGCAGCTGCTACTGTAACAGATGTACAAATATCCAAATACATCTGATTGAACTTTGTTTACCTGTTATTCAGTCATTTTTCCAGAAGCTGCTTTGAAACAAAGTTCTTACTGAAAACATTTGATTAGTTAAAAGATTAGTTTTTCACCTGTTTTTAGTCTTAATGTCTAAACAGTGTCCGGTCAGACTGCAGGTGGAGTATGAAGGTCTTTTTTGTGTGCACACTAATAATGTGGTCATATTGGTCAGATAAATCACAGTTATATTCTGCCAAAATCACTCAGCCCTAGTAGAATGTGCAGTGGCCACTTTTTAACTTAATATGATGAGACTTACACATCAACGAAACGTGCAGCGATTCAGCAATGCTGACTGGGTCTGATAAAATCAATAAAAATCAAACAAAAGAAGAGAAACTCGTAACAGAAATTTGTAATGTACGGTTCTCCAGTAATGTGGAGTAACGTACATTACATTTTTAATAATAATGAACACACATTGTTCAGTTAACTTACCATTACAGGTTCAGTCAACTTGGGATTTTAAAGCAGCCAGTTTCCTCACTTTCAGAAGTTAAAGTGATCACGGTATGAGGTTCATTCAGGACTACAGTACCGGAAGCCCAGGCAGGGCGACGCCCCTGATCACTCTCTCTCTCTCTCTCTCTCTCTCTCTCTCTCTCTCTCTCTCTCTCTCTCTCTCTGCTTTTCTGTGTGAGTATTTAACTATGTGAGGGGCTGTTTGGCTGCTTAACTGTCCAGTAAATGTCTGATTGTGTGTGAAATTATTAGTGTGATTATCAGTGAAACGTATTACAGTAAGGAAAATCAAAGCTGGATAAACTGCTGATGTTACTAATTTGATTAGATTTGATGGTAGAAATGTTCTATACAGGTGAAAAAGAACCAGTTTAGTGTCCCAGTTACCTGTTTAAGATTCATTGTATTATCCATCTGTTCCACTTGGTTATATGTGTCTGGATTTGCTGTGATTAGCATATACTGCATACACGTATCTGCTGAGATTAGAATATATTCATATTCAGTAATTAATATATTCATATACTCATTCAGAACTTGATGGCAGCAACGCAGCTTGAGAACGTTGTGACAGGGCCACGTCTACCGTTGTGTAGCCTCCCCTCTTCTTTTAACAGCAGTCTGTAAACGTCTGGGAAGTGAGGAGAGCCATTGCTGGAGTTCTGGGAGAGGAATGTTGTCCCATTCTTGTCTGATGTAGGACTCTAGCTGCTCAGTCCTGGGTCTTTGGGTCTTCTTTATGGAGTTAGTTTTGTGCCGAAATGTTTGAGAGAAGATCCTGATGTTTGAGAGAGGAATGTCACGGTTTGAGAGGACAGCTATCCTGGGTCTTTAGGTCTTCTTTGCTGGAATTTTCGTTTCATGATGCACTGAATGTTTTCTATTGGTGAAGGTCTGGACTGCAGGCCGGCCAGTTCAGCACCCGGACTCTTTTTCTGCAAAGCCATGCTGTTGTGATGGATGCAGTATGTGGTTTATTGTCTTGCTGAAATATGCAAGGCCTTCCCTGAAAGAGACGAAAAGAAGAGAAAAAAGAATTAGAAATTTTGATTCATCTGACCTCAGAACAGTTTTCAATTTTGCCTCAGTCCATTTTAAATGAGCTTTGGCCCAGAGAAGACGGCGGCGTTTCCGGATCATGTTGACATGTGGCTTCTTCTTTGCATGACACAGCTTTAACTTGCATTTGTGGATTACACAAAAACAGGGATTTTTACAGATTGTCTAAATCTGTTGATGATATTATGTACTGTATATGATGGGATTCCAAAGTCTTCGCAATTTTACATTGAGGAACATTTTTCTGAAATTGTTCCACAATTTTTAGACGCAGTTTTTCTCAGATTGGTGAACTTCTGCCCATCTTTGCTTCTGAGAGACTCTGCCTCTCTAAAATGCCCTTTTATATTCAGTCATGTGAGTTAGTGGCAAATTGCTCCTTCAGCTGATTTTTATTAGTACCACTTACAGCCTTTTGTTGTCTCTGTGCCAACTTTTTTGAGATGCGTTGCTGCCATCAAGTCCTAAATGAGTTAATGTTTTTCCTGATATGGTAAAATGTCTCACTTTCAATTTCAGATTTTAGAGCTTCATTACTCACCGCTTCATATAACTTTATACAGTCATTTAAACTAATCAGATTTTAGAGCTTCATTACTCACCGCTTCATATAACTTTATACAGCCATTTAAACTAATCAGATTTTAGAGCTTCATTACTCACCGCTTCATATAACTTTATACAGTCATTTCAAACTAATCAGATTTTAGAGCTTCATTACTCACCGCTTCATATAACTTTATACAGTCATTTAAAACTAATCAGATTTTAGAGCTTCATTACTCACCGCTTCATATAACTTTATACAGTCATTTCAGACTAATCAGATTTTAGAGCTTCATTACTCACCGCTTCATATAACTTTATACAGTCATTTCAGACTAATCAGATTTTAGAGCTTCATTACTCACCACTTCATTTGACTTTATACAGTCATTTCAACTAATCAGATTTTAAAGTTTAATTACTAACCGCTTCGTTTAACTTTTTACAGTCATTGATTTAAGACTAATTAGACTGTAGAGCTTCATCACTCACTGCTTCATTTAACTTTATACAGTCAGTCATTTCAGACTAATCTAATTTTAGAGCTTCATCACTCACCGCTTCATTTCACCTTCATTGAAGGACCAGCTGATACAGACACTGAAAAAAAGAAAAAGAAAAAGAAAAAGGATATAAAGGAAACAGTATATTAAAAAACAGGACAACAGCACCATCTGCTGGAGTAAACAGAACAAACTGTTTGTACTCAGCAGATCACATTTCAGGAGCTTCACTGTCTATTTGAGTTCTGAAATGTTAAAAATCTACTTTACAAACTAAACATTAAGATAAAGTCTTTAACAAGATGATAAAGGAGTGTCAGTTCAGTTCTTACCAGTAGTGCATGTAGAGATCAGGATCAGGATACAGAGAGCAGAACTGCAGGACTGCATGACTGACCTACAGACAGACACATACACCATCAGTACTGACCAGGAGAGGAGAGAGAGAAGAGAGGAAGAGAGAACAGAACTGACCTACAGACACACACACACCATCAGTACTGACCAGGAGAGGAGAGAGAGAAGAGAGAACAGAACTGACCTACAGACACACCATCAGTACTGACCAGGAGAGGAGAGATATAGTGCTGTGCAAAACTCAGTGACCACCCTTTATTTCAGTTCTAGTCAAAACAGCCATAAAGTATGTTACTGATTTTCCAGGAGGAGATTAGATTAAAGAGTCCACTTAAATAATAAAAGAGAAAGTGAAAGGAAAATAAGTGACCAAATTGGAGTTCAACAAATCTACAGAGAAAATGTGCTTCCTAACAACCACCTGGAAGAGCTGCTAGACCCCCAAACTGCCCCCATCAGATAAACAGCCCTTAAGGCTTTCATCTTTGAGAGAGAGGAGAAAATCAAGCTGCTTCAGATCTGAAAACATCCACAGGTGTTTCTGTCCATCCTTCCACTGTGAGAAGACGACTCAGCGCTGTGGGTCTGAAAGGATGTATAGCTGTTCAAGAAGAGCCTCACTGAGAAAAGGAGACGGACACATCAAACAAAGAAGCTGAACAATGGACTGACCACCCCAGAGTCCAGACCTCAACATTACTAAATGTTAGGGGTGCGGAAAAAAATCGTTTCTTAGATGCATCGCGATGCAGATGCGAACAATTCTGAAACGATTGACAAATGTCAAAAATCAATTTTCTAAATATTTAATTTATAACGTAACGTTGACGGAACGCAAAAGACAGAACTTGGAAGTGCGGACGTGCAGCGCCCGGACAGTCTGTGGCAGCACATAACAAAAACACAACTGGATGAGCGAGAAATCACAACACAAATGATAAGAAGAGACTTTTTGTCTTTTCAACAAAAATCAAACCACCTTGAGAGCCGCAACATTCAATGTCCAGTATGTCTCAGTGTGTGTTAATGTCCTAGTTTAGGCTAAACAATATAAACGAAAACACTGACTTACTTTGCTCTGCTTTAACCTTCAGCTATAGCCGCTTTCCTCCCATCTCCAGCAGAAAACCTTTCCTCAGAAGTTGATCAGTTAAATGTCTCTCAACGTTCGGCTGTTTTATGAGGCTGAAGTCGCTTCTTATTCTCCAGCTTCTTGTTCAAATTTTCCCGTTCCACCTTAAATTCTGACTGAGACGCCGAATGTAAATACGGCACCATTTAAGGTGAAACAAGAAGCGACTTCATCTTCGCAACTTTTGTGTTTGACAGTCTCTCGTTGCAGATTTAACTTGCCAGGAATCAACTGCTTATAAATGCGAATAATGCATCGCTGCTGTGTGACCTGCAGTCTGCATGCCGGTTCTCAGTCATTGAGAAACAGGGCTTTCGCGCTATGTTGCACACGACCCGTCTCGAAGATACTTTACTGACACAGCGACCCCCCCCTCCCCTGTCTCTGCAATGAGACCAAAACCGAAGTTATAAAATCACTGAATTAAATGGGTAGGACGGCTGTAACGCTGCCTGGACACCCAATGCCACTGGATCTTATTTCACTATAACTGCGCATTTTATTGCAGATGAGTGGCAGCAGCGTCTGATGTGCTCCGAACAACAGCAGTGAGTGAGGTTGCATCTTTTTAACAAAACAAATTGAAGTGATGTGGCAAGTGAACTAGAAGGCTTTTTTTTTTCTTTGCCACATCACTTCCATTTGTTTTATTAAAAAAGATATTGGAAGTAAATTCACTATGGATCATTACAAATACTTTGCTGTAAAAGTACCAAGTCCTCAGACAGCAGGAAAATAGAAATCCTGTATAGAAGAAAAGACGCATCGAGAATCGTCTTATAATCGCATCGCAGCCACTGAATCGTAATCAAATCGAATCGTGAGGTGCCTAAAGATTCTCATCCTTACTGAATGTGTTTGATTACTTCAGAAAATGATCAACCAGCTTCTAAGACTGAACTTTGGAGGTGTGTCTGCAGATTCTTTGAGGAACTGAAAGTGAGTCTCTTGAACAGAATGGAAGCTGGAATGAAGGGAAAGAGAGACTCACTGAACACAGCACTGAATTTTAATCCATCAGCTCAGAGCTCAGCTGGACAGCAGAGAGTCCACAAACTGCAGCAGCTCTCTGAGTTCATAGAGACTAATGAGTATCAGTGAGTGTGCTGGAGATTTACTCCACTATATTCACTGATACAGTAAATCTGTACAGTGGAAATGCTGAAATATTACAGATGTTACTCAGACTGGTGGGTTTGCTCCTCCTGACAGCTCAAGGCTTTTTCTGTAGACTTCCTGTCTGTACAGAGGAAGTGGCTGCAGAACCGACTGCGCTGCTTGTGGTTTTTAAGAGGAAGTGTGCTGTGATGCAGCCAATCAACAGCCTGCTAATCTCAGGATTTCTCTTTAATACAGAAGCTCATCACTCTGTTCCAGCACACATTTAATAAAACTGTTATATCAATCACAATAAATTACATTAATTCTGTCTGTCAATCAGCTGATGATGTTAAATAAACCACTCAGTCTTTCTGAAACAGCCATTTAACAAAAGAGCTTCAGATCAGCCATAAACTCCAAACAGAAACAGAAACAGAGAATCTCCAAACACACTTCAGCTCTCAGCTCTGAGTTGTACTCACCGCTCTCTCTCTCTCTCTCTCTCTCTCTCTCTCTCTCTCTCTCTCTCTCTCTCTGCTGGAGTTTCTGCAGGGAAATCAATCCTGTTTATTATAATATCAGAAATATGACAGAATCGTACAGCTGATGTGCTGATTACTTCCTCCTGCACTGATGCGCTTTCGTTTTGATCTTCAGTAAACTGGGACAGGGGGCGGGGCTTAAGAACAGGTGGTTTTATTCTGTGGGGTTTTGACTCAGTTTCTGATCTGATGCTGCTTTAGTCTCCGAGGAGGAGGAGCTCGCTCACCCAGCGTAACGGTTCCTGTGGGAGATAAACAGAAATCTGAGGATGTGAAATGGAGCTGCAGCTGATCAGTTTAGGCCTGTTTTAGTGGAGTAGAAATGAACTGTGGGTAAACTGTACATGTGTAAAATTCACTTTAGCATCATCATTTATATTCATACTGTTTACCTGCTCACTTTCTGTCATCTGACTGTTTACATGATGGAAATAACGTTGATGTCAAATTATGGTCATGCTGGTTGACCAGCATACCAGCATCCTAAACACAACATCTGCTGGTTTTGCAGGTGACCAGCCAGTTGTGTTGTGTTGAGTTTATCATATTTTAGATTTTTTCCACCTCCTAACTTCCCTGATTCTCTAAATGGGCTCTGATTGGCTCCTCATTACCTGCTGAACAGGTGTGAAGCATTATTACTCACCTACACATCACTCAGGCTTCTATGAGACGACAGCTGAAGCAGATACGACATACAAACACAGTTTATTATTGTGGATACAGTCATAAAGGGGTAATTACACTGTCATTAGCTTAGCTGTGGCTTACAGTTTAACCTGGGTTTAAACCTGAATGAGTCTCATGGGTTCTTAAACTCCACTGCTGTGTCCTCAAAAGCTGCAGTTTAAAGCTCACCTGCATCTTAAACTAAACCTGATTGCTTTTCATTTAAAAACCACACATCTGCCACTAGATGGTGCTGTTGATCAGGTTTAACTGAGGTCTGTCTGAAACCTGATAAAGACACGGCTTAACTGAGGCTTAAGGTGAGATTATTGTAATTGAAGCGCATTTTCAGCTCAGATATGACAATATTTCATAACCATAGGCCTACATACCTTCTGTCATAATGTTTTGTGGACATGAAACAGCACACACCTGACCATGGAACAGCTAAAGAGCCAACTGTCCAATTACTTTTGAGCCCCTACAAATGAGAGACGCTGAATAAAATGGTTGTAATTCCTACAACATTCACCTTGATTTGGATGTAAATATCCTCAACATAAAGCTGAAAGTCTGCACTTTGAACTCATGTTCATTATTTAATTTCAGCTCCAGCTGTGCTGGACAGCCAACATAATGACTTTGTCAGCGTCCAAATATTTATGGGTCTAACTGATATGGTGACATTTCATTATATATTGACTGATAAACTATATAGCAAAATATGTTCTTACTATGCAGTATTTTGTTCTAGTCGGGCTCATGATGTAATTTGACAGCACATCTGGATGAGCAGTGGATCAGAGAGACTCCTGCATGTTTGGAAAGAGCAGTCAGGTTTAGTTTAACACACAGCTGAGTATTAAACCCCTGAAGTTACCGGTTTAACCAAACCTGTGTTAAACTGAGACTAAACTGCTGCTAAGCTAATGGCAGAGCAATCAGAGCAACAGCCCCACCATGTCTCTAATGTCGATCTGTCACAGGTTTGGCACAGCGCCATCTGCTGGGTGAGCTGGACAGAGTGGAAAAGGAAGGTCAGTGTATTTCAGTTTGGACCCTGAGTTACATCAAAACAGCAGATGTTATTATGGAACATCTCAGATCTTCATCCAGACTTTTTAATTCATTTTTGTAATCAATGTCTGATTCTGTTAAAGTCAGAATGACACAATAACATTTTACACAGATTAATAAAGACCCCAGTCACAAGATCAGAACACAAGGAAGTTTCATTTATTTTAATAATATAAATTTACAGTTAGAATTACTGATATGAGCACAGCTGATGACACTGGAGTTGGTGCTTTATCAACATTAGAAGTATAAACACATTAAACACTATCAGTAGAAACTGAAAGCAAAAATTACAGCACTTTGGTCTTCAACAAACTCAGTAAAGCAGCTGCATCTTCCAAAAATATACAAATATACAAAATAAGAGTTCAAAATGTTCACAGTTACATTTTAACTATTTTTTATTTATTAAAACCAGCTACAGTAAAAATGCTGTGCTATGATATCTTGGACCACTCTGAGAGAATCAAACTGTGGCACCAAAGAAAAGAACAAAACAAAAACCACTGCTCTGAAACAAAAGGTACTCAGATACAGAAACAAAAATGAAACAAAAGCTAACTACACTTCTCTGGCCAGTAATCAAAATTACAAGGGGTGGTGCCCACGCTCTGACCAACTAGACAGAGCAGACCTCTACATGGTGCGAAAGTATAGGCACCCCACTTAAATGGCTTGAAATGCCAGGTGAAACACTAATCCAGCAGATCTTGTAAGTGGAGCTGGTGAGATTTACTGTACAAGTCCCCTGTAAGCAGAGTTAGTGAGTGTGCTGATAATTCTCCCAACTCAAGAGTAATACCTGCTCACATGTAACACCAGTGCTGGCTTGTTGTCCTGATTAGAAGGAACAGAAGATATACAGAAGCCACTCTGAACCCTCCTCCAGACTGAAGAACAGAAGATTCAGTCTTCACTCTGATCCTCTACAGCCTTGCCTCACACTAACCTGAGGGCTTTTCCTTCAGAGGAACTTGTTCAGTGGTAGTAGACTGACTCTTATCCTCAGCTGTAGTGCAGTGTCCATGTGAGCGCTGTGTTCTTCTCTTCAGCCACATCCAGCCTCTAACTATCTGTGGTGGGACAAAGAAACCCAGCAATGCTCCAAGAAAGACCCCCACACCGAGCCCAATGCCAAACTCTGTTTTCTCCCAAATCTTCCACACCCAGCTCTCCTTCTCACCTAAAGAGAGAACCGAACAGACAACTTCAGAAATGTTTTGAGGGACTATTTAAGATGTGTGAAAACGGCCTAGTATTCCTAACTTATATGTTAAACGGTGAAATCAGTTAAAGTCTTACCTCTGACTGTGGTTCTATATGTAGACACGACCTCCTCGTTCTCAGTGTCCACTACAGCGTAAACACCACCATCAGAGTCCTTCAGGTCCTTCAGCTGCAGACTGGACTGGAACAGCACTCTCTCCTCATATGGAGGGTCACATTGGACTTTACGGCCCTTGACTTCACACAGCTTCACAGGGTTTGGATCAGAGTCTCCAGTCCTGTTGAAGGTGACCTTCACTGGCTCTGAGACGGGAAGATCCAGAGTCAGATTATCCCCACGGTTCATCTGCAGGAAGTTCTCAGGAGCTGCAAAGATAAAAGCACAAGAAACCACATCATCACTCACTGCCTCTTACGTTTTACAGTCTGATTAAAAGATAAAATGACCAGGTTCACTGACTGGACACTTACGCTCGAGCCGTAGACTCACATCACAGACGTCTTTACCGTCACACTGACAGGTGTACCAGGTTCTCTTAGTGAAATCAGCGTCAGTGATGGTGAGAGAGAGATTCCCCTTCAGGTACTGATCATGGATCATCTGATATCCCTCCTTCACTGATCTACATGAAGTCTGATCACACTCAGACAGAACATCAGTGGGTTTACGGGATGCAGTCCATCTGACCAAACCAGAACATCTCTCAGAGCAGGACAGAGTAGCAGAGTCATGAAGCTTCACCTTCACTGAAGAACGAGCTGAAGAAGGAGGAACTGCAGAAGGAGGGAGAGAGAGGTCTGTTAATAACAGTGCAGTAAACCTGTGTCAGATCTCAGTCCAGTCCAGGTCTTTCATCCAGCTGGAGCAGAACGTTATGGAGGTTTCTGAATTTGTGAATGTTAGAACTCCTTAAGCTCAGAGTATCTGAATTGGAGATGCACCAGGTTCCACAAAGCAGCACTGCACCATCTCTAATCTGAATATTGAGGTGGGTAACGTTCCCACTCCTCACTCTGGAGATCAGGGTTCAGCTCCTCACTTTAAAATGCACTTCATTACTACCTGAGTGCATGTTTTAGGTTGAATTTCATTCACATTCAGGGTCCCTTTTCTCCACAAATGTCTGTGCACATGCTGGTCTTTTTGTAGATCAGACTAAATTATATCTCATAATCTACATACAGTTAATACTCTACTGGCTACGTTCATCAGCAGTGTGTCAGTAAGATATCAATATCATAAATGGTATTAATCTATACAGCACATTACCAAAAACTGGTAGAATAACTGATAAAACAGTGAACTGTATAAAAGCATAAATAAACCAAACAAAACCGTGATGGTAAAGAATGACACTACCTTAAACAAAGCATGTCTGACAGTATAATTAGCCTGCAGCTCTATTAACAATGTGCGAAATGTAAAAACACACCCAAGATGCAAGAGAAGCTCAGCAGCCCAAACAGGAACGCTCTCTGGATCCTGGAGCTCTGCATGTCTGTGGATTCACTGAGGAGGTAAAAGAAACACTGCACATCAGTAAGAGGGTCCTGCTGAGACCCCCTTCACACCAGCTGTTAACATCAGCCCCTGGTTTTTGAGCATTAGGTTCAAAGATATGCCGGCTCCGGTGGCGCGGTGGGCAGATGCAGCCGCCACTCCGGGAAGAGCAAATCGGTGCTTTTTTCTTTTTTTTGTTTACTATCTGTCGTGTAACCCGACCAAAACTATATATCATGACTGCTTCAACCAGCACCAGCGTCTACCATCCCCAGAGGAGCTAGTCTCTAGTCACTGGTGGATTTTGCGATTGTCAGAGCCAGACCTTTTTATTTGCCAAGAGAACTAACTATGCTGTACATAGTATTGGTGTATATAGCTCCCAGTGCTAATGCTAACGCCGCACTGAACGCTCATCAGATGTGCCAAACCAGACCAGAAGCAAGTGAGAACCTGGCCGCCAGGAGCTGTCCCTGCTCTTCAGGACTCTTTTGAGCACACTGACTGGGGGATGTTCAGAGAGGCAGCAACCTCCGGTGACTCCATCAATCTGGAGGAGTACACAGAATCAGTGACTGACTACATCAGCAAGTGCATTGATGAGGTTACTGTCTCCAAACTCGTCACAAGGGTGCTGAGAACCCGTGACAGGCTTTCAAGTCAAGGGACAAAGCAAGCCTCAGGATAGCAAGAGCCAAGCTTTCCTGGGCCATCAAAGAGGCTAAGACACACGGCGCATGTGGCAGAGCATCCAGGCCATCACCAACTACAAGCCACCTCCACCTGCTTGTGACAGTGATGCCTCCCTTCCAGACGCGCTGAACAACTTCTATGCTAGGTTTGAAACACAGAACGGCACGACGGCGAGGAAAACCACTCCTCCTCCAAGTGAACAGGTACTGTGTCTGTCCACAGCTGATGTGCGGAGAACTCTACACAGAGTCAATCCACAGAAAGCACCAGGATCCGACAGCATACCGCCCCTCAGGGCTGTGTGTTCAGTCTGCTGCTGTTTACCCTGCTGACTCATGACTGTACAGCAAAGTACAGCTCAAATCACATCATCAAGTTTGCTGATGACACGACTGTGGTGGGTCTGATCAGCAAGAATGATGAGTCAGCGTACAGAGAGGAGGTGCAGCGGCTGACAGACTGGTGTGGAACCAACAACCTGTCTCTGAATGTGGACAAAACTAAGGAGATGGTTGTCGACTTCCGGAGAGTGCGAGGTGACCACGCCCCACTGACCATCACTGGCTCTGCTGTGGAAATCGTCCAGAGCACCAAGTTCCTCAGTGTCCACATCACAGAGAACCTCACCTGGTCCCTCAACACCAACTCCATAGCCAAGAGAGCCCAGCAGCGCCTCTACTTCCTACAGAGACTGAAGAAGGCTCATCTCCCCCCTCCCATCCTCACCATGTTCTACAGGGGGACTGTGGAGAGCATCCTGAGCAGCTGCATCACCGCCTGGTTTGGACATTGCACCGCCTCTGACCACAAGACCCTACAGCGCATTGTGAGGACAGCTGAGAAGATCATCGGGGTCTCTCTCCCCTCCATCATGGACATCTACACCACACGCCGCATCCGCAAAGCCACCAGCATTGTGGACGACCCCACCCATCCCTCACACAGACCTTTTTTCACTGCTGCCGTCTGGCAGAAGGTACCGGAGCATTCGTGCCATCACTGCCAGACTCTGCTACAGCTTTGTCCCTCAAGCAATCAGATATTTAAACTCACAAGGACTAAACTACCCCCCCCCTCCCCCACACACACACTCATACACCCCTCTTTTGATGCACTACTTGCACTATCTGGAACATTACTGCTAATGCTGTGTTTACACTGTTTTACTACCTCAGTAACTGCTGTGCTCACGTATGTTATCTGACTGCGTAACTCACAGATCACAGCATGTTAAATATCTCTGCACCTTATTCCACAACCTCATGCTCAGAAATGAGTGCTGTGTCGGAGATGCACTTTCCTCTCTGTTTACTGTGCCTAATGTCTGTTTAATGTATCGTATTTATTGTACTGTTTCTAGCCTAATTCTTTGTTTGTACACTGTCTGCACGTTCGCAGTTTGTACTTTGTGTTCCTTGTTGCACCGTGTTGTTCCTGGAGGAACGTAATTTCACTCCACTGTGTACTTGTACATAGATGGAATGACAATAAAAGCCTCTTGACCTTGACCTTGACCTAAATGTAAAAAGGAAGAAAAAATAAACTCTGTGTGATTTAATACGTTCAGAAAGCTGAAAGATATTTACACTTTTAACTAATCTCATACTTAATAGCTGTAAAGTAAGTGTTAATTAACTTGTGTACTTTTTATGGACAGATCACTTTTTAACACCTTCATAACAAACAGTTCACCTCCAGCTGTTTTTTTCAACGTGATTTCCACAGCTGGGACTTTTCCGGGATTTATTTGTGCTGAGTCACGCGGCTCAAGGCAGTGAATCAAAACAACACAGTTTATGTAATCTGATCTAGTCTAATCTGAAAGGTGAAAGATATTCCATTAAAGAGCAGTCAGACAGTCAGAGGTGAGCTTTTTATCTGCTCTGCAATATCGGCAGGGTTTCCACAGCGGCTTTCCTGGCTAACTTTCACCCTCAGGAAGTTAATGTAATTAGCCTGTAATTACAGTGTGACTATTTCTTGTATACTCACGGTTTGTCGTGCTGGAGCTGGAGATAATCAAAGATAAAAAAGTTAAAAAAGTGACGAGAGACGACGAGAGGTAATAAAGAGTTAGTGTCACGATAGCGCGAGAGAAGGCAGGTCAGAAAATCTTCTAGAAATCTGGGCGGTTCCTGTTTCATACTTCAGTATTTCACTGCACTCATTACTGTCTAAGTCAGGTGTTTTCTTCCAAGTTGCGCAATCTCGCTCACTCTTACACACACACACACACACACACACACACACACACACACACACATACACACACACACACACACACAAACACACACACACACACACACACACACACACATACACACACGATTGCAAGCATCAGAAAGATGGTGTATAAAAAAGCAGCATATGTTATTCCAACATGTGTATATAAATTTCATTGTTAACCACGAATACCTCCATGAGCCTGGCTTTGGAACTTTATGCTGGTAACAACCCAGCCAGCATTTTCATGTGGGCCCCATACGGGATAGCAACTGGCTAGCAATAGGGCCCCCCTTGGGCGACCCAGTTGGGGCCTTCACAGATTTGACCACTGGCTCTGTATAGGCTCCATGTGTGTAAACCCATGCAGTTCACTAATCGGGCCAAGATAAGCACTGAGTGGGGACAGATAGTGCAATTAACTTTGGGTCCTAAATCTTGATGGTCCTTAACTGTTTACATTTCATTTTGATGAATCTGAAGTGGACAGAGTTTTGGATTTGATGAAGATCACTGAAGAAGAGCTATTTAAAGGCTTATGTAGTATATGTAATTGTATAAGTGTATATGTAAATATTTTACAGTTTAGGTTTATCTTTAAGGCACATAAGACCATTTATAGTGCAGTCTGGCCAAATTATGGCCAAAATACTGAACACCGCTTCTTTTCTTTTCTATTTAAATGTGCAAAACAACAACAACAAGAATATCTCTGATTGCTGTATATGTGAAGAGGCTAATCAGAGAGTCAACTCAGCACAAAGACCCCAAACAGCAAGAACACCAGAAAAGCACTTACGTTTAACAGTGACCGACACTGTCCGTATGAGAGCCGCTCCATCGTTGACCTCTCGCACCGTGTAGACTCCAGAGTCAGCAGACACCACGTCTCTCAGCACCATGGAGTTACCAAACACTGACACTCTGTCTTCATACCCCGCGTTACAGAGCACGGAGCGTCCATCCACAGTGCACATCTGGACAGGGGTTACAGATCCTCCATCAGTCCGGGAGAACATTAGAGTCACTGGATGGAACGTGAACAGGTCCAAGGTGAGGGGATCTCCAGCTGGTACTTCAACAGAAGAGTTGTGAGCTGCAGGAGAGACAAGCAGAGATCTTTGTAATTCCAGTCGTACCAGCACCAAACTACCATAACACTACTGTATCATACACTGTCATACAAGAGTTTAATGCTCTGAAACACTCACGCTTGGGCTGGAGGTTCTGGAAGCAGATCACTTCTCCGCTACATTTGGTGAGATAAAATCCTCTGGTGGTGTAATTAACCTGAGGAATGGTGAGGCTACTATTGTCCAGGTGTCTCTCACAGCTGAACTCCGACTCTTCTTTAACTCCACATTCGGCCACTTTCACTCCACTCCTCTCCCAGGTTTCCACCCCTGAACAGGGCTCTGAACAGTACAGAGTGGCCGGGTCATTCAGATCCCTCCATGTGGTTTCGATGAAGTTAGCCAGTGTCTGCTGACCTGCTGAAGAAGAACAAGTGTTTACAGTTATAGGCAAACTGTGCATCACGGTCAGTGAGTGTAGATACAGTGGAAGTGTTTCTAGCTTAATAGCCTTTAATCTCAGTCTATGTTCCATATATTTACTCTCTAAAGATGAAGATGTGGAAGCAGCTCCAGTGAAGCTGAGTCCAGTCTCAGTAAGTCAGTGAGGCTGTTTAATGAAAGTGTGCAGTGTGAGCAGTGAGGACTCTCACCTGATAGGACTGCAGTCAGGACTGTTAGGACCCAGAAGCTGAAGAGCTGCATGGCTGAGCAGACGGTGGAGACTCAACACAGCCTGCAGGTGGAAACACAGCAACAAACACTGTTAATGACACAAAACTCACCATCTGAAAACATTACAGAGCATATAAGATACATTTCTATACTCTAACTGGTGTTTTCAGCTCTTCAGATCTCTCAGCTCTCTGTTCCTACATGGACTTCACCTGTCTTTGTGTTTCTACATGATCTGTCAGTGAACTACAGTGGTGAGTAAAAAAGGGTCTGTTCAGTCTCGTGCTTTCCATTTTTTCAGCATTAATATTCATCGTGTACTTACAGTTTGTTCTGTAGCAGTCAGATGGTGGAGGCTGTAGGGGGTTCTAGAGTTCGGCTCCGGCAGGTTCTGATGCTTTTTCTTTCGTTTTATTCCAGAAACGAACGTTGTCAGATGGAGATCCTGTTCTGCAGACAGTGAAGACAAACCGCAGCTGATCCACATGAGAAGTGTCTGCACTGCTGGGGGGAGGAGCCTTTATACTGCTCAAACTCGGGAAAGCCGAAAAATTCGGAGGGAGGAGCCAAACTCGGGAGTGACGCACTGTTTGGAGGAAGGGCTCAAACTCGGGAGTGACGCACTGTTTGGAGGGTGGAGCCAAACTCAAACTCGGGAAAGCCGAACAAATCGGAGGGAGGAGCCAAACTCGGGAGTCCCGCACTGTTTGGAGGGAGGGCTCAAACTATGTAGAGACGCACAACACAATCACAGAATCTGTATAACACACCTGCTGTTACTGTGTTACTGTAGTTTATAAATCTTTTCAAGTAATATAGGAGGATATAGTAACATCAGTCAGAAGTCCAGCTGTGCTCAGTTTTTTTCTCTAATATCTACAAGTTGTAGATTTTAGTGAAGCTAAGATAATAATGTTGGGTAACTTGGGCTGTTCTCTCAAAACAAACCTAATATCTGGCCAATTTTGCCTCTTCTGATTGCTCAGAATAACTGAGGAACATTATATTACAGACAGTCAGTTCAGCTGGATTTAAAACTACTTTCATTTCAGTTATTAACACCAGCTATAACAACCACAGATAGTGTTAATAAAACATTAGCTAATGTTAGTCTTAAACAGAGTGACCAACTGGCAAAGTATTCCTGGGACAAGATTATTTATGCACTTAAAGAGAAGCTTTAAGAAAGAAATATTTATACATGTTTTTTTAAAACGTATCGATTTTTATTTATTTCTTTATTTATAATTTCACAGTGATGCCATCTCATTGGTCCATTATTTTCAAAGCCTGCTTGTCAACACAATAACTTCCTCGATTTCCCTTTGGTCAACATATATTAAAAATTCTTTATTTGTTGTGTCTTATAGTGAACCACATCGATACTGTTTTAGTATGATTTAAAGTCAGTTATTTTAAAGTGAATGAAAAACATAAATTGTTTGCCTATGTAATATTTCTGCTGCTTTCTGTGGAGTCTTTTCTAAAACATGAATGATTGTCTCATCAGCATATATTTGACATTCTGTGCCTTTACAAATTTCAAGCAGATCCTCTATGTACAAACAAAAAAAGCAGTGGGCCCAGGACTGAACCCTGTGGAATGCCCATACTACAACCCTGACGGGGTGACTTCACACAGTGTATTTCAACACATTGCCCCCTGCAATCCAAATATGACGGAAACCAACCTATAGTCTATAAGCTTATACGCTTATTTATATGTATTTCATGATTCACAGTATCAAACGCTTTTTAATATCTAAAAATACAGCTCCCACCACTTTATCTGCATCTAATGAACTTTTAATATTTGCAGTAAAACAGCATCCAGCCATTTCTGCTGAACACTTAGGGCTAAATCCAAATAGTTTTTGATGCAGGATTTAATTGTGTTAAAAAAACTCCACCGGTTGTTCAGCAAATAATTAGTAAAATGGCTGGAAAAACTGATATTGTGCTGTAGTTACAAGCTTGATCAGGTGTGTCAGCCTTAAAAATGGAGCACTGCATTTTTTGATAAAATTCATATTTGGCTCAAAAATGTCTTTAGTTAATTTATTTAACTGATCAATCATTTTGTGAATTTTCCTTTGATCTGCCTGCATAATGTGGAAAGATACTGATGTGTCCTTCATTGACTCTTGTAGTGGGACTACTGAATGACAATTAGCTGCAAGTTCTTCTCCTGATTGAATGAAAAAGGCTTTAAGTTCAGAGTGATTTCCACAGCGTCAGAGCTCATCTTTCCATTCATATCTAACGTCGTTATTGATTTCTGTGTATAAAAGTCACGATTAATAAGCCTCAGTAAGTCATCACTCTTTGAAAGACTGCACTGGATGACTCTTCTTTTACTCCTCCTGTCCTCCTTGCTGTGGAGCAGCTCCGCTTTCTTTTTTTTTTTCTTTTTCCTCTGACTTTGTACTGTTTCTCTTTTCTTTCCACCTTTGTAAAGGCGCAGCATTCTCCCCGAATGTCTCTGGTAAGGCTGAACATTCTGGGAATTGGAGTCATTGATGGAGGTTGCCCTAGACGAGCGCTGCTGCTGCTCTTTGCTGGCAGCAGGTGGCACTGACCTCTTACACACTCTCTCTCTCTCACACACACACACACACACACACACACAAAATCCGTATTTAATTATATTTGCATATTTAATGCATTGGAATTTTTTCAGCACTTTCAAAAACAAAGAATAAAAACCCTGCAGAAACAGGAGCACTTTCACAGCAGCACCAGTGCATTCTGGAAACTGGGGTCCAGTTAAAGAGCTGTAATGCAGGATGGTAAAGACACTGGCTGGACCAGCAAATTAGGACCTGAGCCGTGTTTCTACTTTCACTACTGATCACCATTTAAGGTTCGAACCGGAAAATTTGAACATGAAGTCGGGGAATAAGAAACCAGCTTCAGATGGGTGGAGTGGCCTCGAGAGCATCAGCTCATTTGGCACATAAAAATAAGTAAACAAGTAAATTTCAGTGTCATTTTTTATTGATTTAAAGTCATTTCCCTATGATGAGGGTCATTCATGTTGTTTGTACCGAGATCCAATAAATCCCAGCCATTGGCTGGTATTCCCTCATGTCAGGGGAACACTCTTTTCCACATCCTCAGTTTGATTCACGCATGAGGAGTCTCGTCTTCTGAGTCTCTGGAAACATCTGTCCATCAGATAAAGCCCCCTCGGCACCGCATAGAACCCCAGAATCACACCAAGAACCAGCGCTCCAATCCCAAATCCCAGTGCTCCGATTTTCAATCCCTTCTGAAATCCATCACTGTTTCCCTTCTGATATTCATCCTTCCACATCCAGTTCTGCTCAGCATCTGAAGACAACAGACAAAACGGAGGAGCTGAATGTGATTAGTGCTCTTTAGGAAAGTCTTCAGGTCATGAAAGGTCAGAATGAGAGAGTTTTGGCCAAACAGAAAAAACACAACAGCTAAATGTTTCATAATGCTAACTAGGAAATTCCAGTGGAAACTGCACTCAGATGTTCAACTCTACCCCTAAACTAACACACCTGATCCAGGTAATAAAGGCTTTGAAGGTCATCTGGATGTCCAGATCCAGGGTGGTGGATCTACAGGACCAGGACCTGTTCTAACTGTTGACATTTCATTTTGATGAATCTGAAGTGGACAGAGTTTTGGATTTGATGAAGATCACTGAAGAAGAGCTATTTAAAGGCTTATGTAGTATATGTAATTGTATAAGTGTATATGTAAATATTTTACAGTTTAGGTTTATCTTTAAGGCACATAAGACCATTTATAGTGCAGTCTGGCCAAATTATGGCCAAAATACTGAACACCACTTCTTTTCTTTTCTATTTAAATGTGCAAAGCAACAACAGCAACAAGAATAACTTTGATTAATGTATATGTGAAGAGGCTAATCAGAGAGTCACCTCAGCACAAAGACCCCAAACAGCAAGAACACCAGAAAACAACTTACGTTTAACAGTGACCGACACTGTCCGTATGAGAGCCGCTCCATCATTGACCTCTCGCACCGTGTAGACTCCAGAGTCAGCAGACACCACGTCTCTCAGCACCATGGAGTTACCACACACTGACACTCTGTCTTCATACCCCGCATTACAGAGTACGGAGCGTCCATCCACAGTGCACATCTGGACAGGGGTTACAGATCCTCCATCAGTCCGGGAGAACGTTAGAGTCACTGGATGGAACGTGAACAGGTCCAAGGTGAGGGGATCTCCAGCTGTTACTTTAACAGAAGAGTTGTGA